TCTGGTTTGCGCGATTTTAGGGGAGGCGGAGGCGAATTTGCGTCGAGCGTTTGAAGAGGCTGAGAAGAACGCACCTGCAATTATCTTCATCGACGAAATTGACTCTATCGCACCCAAGAGAGAGAAGACAAACGGAGAGGTGGAGCGGCGAGTGGTCTCGCAGCTGCTGACGCTGATGGACGGCTTGAAGGGCAGGGGCCAAGTTGTTGTGATCGGTGATTGCCTCACAAACACGGCTATCTAGCAGCACGTCGAACTTCTGAGACACTCCTTACCCGTTGGAGCAGCTGCAGAGACGGACAGACTGCTGAGCAGCAGACACCAGCATGGGGCGTAGAGGCCCTAAGACTTGGGCTCACTTCCTTTGTTTTTAAAGCGTTCGCATACGTGCTTGAGACGGCCTATTGCTGCTGAGAGCTTGCTGCTTCTGGTACGATTTCGCAGGGGCCACGAACCGCCAGAACTCCATTGACCCTGCTCTGCGACGTTTCGGTCGGTTTGATCGTGAGATTGACATTGGCGTGCCAGATGACAATGGGCGACTCGAAATCCTCCGCATCCATACCCGCAACATGAAACTGGGCCCCGACGTCCGCCTGGAGGAGCTCGCCTCGAGCACTCACGGTTTCGTGGTGCGTAGCAGCCAGCAGCCTTTGCGCGATGACGGACACGCTGTGTGCATGGCGTGCCTGTCCTGTTCGCTCTCTCTTGTCCCCATTCTAACTCATTTCCTTTCTTTTTCGAAATCGATGGCTGCCTGCAGGGTGCTGACTTGGCGCAACTTTGCACTGAGGCCGCGCTGTCGTGCATTCGAGAGAAGATGGATTTGATCGACCTGGAAGATGACACCATTGATGCACAGGTAATGGCTCAATGCCGGCTCCGTCTTACACCCCCAGCTACTTGGCCGTGCTGTCTACGCACTGCACGTCTGTCAGCAATTCCTGTGCAGTCGCAGCTCGTTATGGGGTTAGGTTTTTGTGGAACAGGCGTTGGTAGGCAGCTCAGTCGTCGGCTTCTGCTGTTGCGTTTCCATTTTGTTCTGCAAAGGTGCTGAGCTCTATGGCAGTCACTCAAGAGCACTTCTCGTCAGCGTTACAGAGCTGCAACCCGTCTTCGCTGAGAGAAACGGTTGTGGAGGTGCCCAACGTTAAGTGGGATGACATTGGTGAGTGTTTAGAGCTGCGTTCTAAGGGTTATGGGCACATTGTGGAGGTTCATATGCATGTACGCTGTTGCCTATAATTCGTCTGCTGGCGATGTTTGCCCGTCATTTTACAGGTGGTCTGGAGGAGGTCAAGAGGAATTTGCAGGAGATGATTCTCTACCCAATTGATCATCCCGAGAAGTTCGAGAAGTTCGGTATGAGTCCAAGCCGTGGTGTACTCTTTTATGGACCTCCAGGCAAGGCTGAGAGCAAAGCAGTATCTGTGCAGTGGCGCAGCTGGTTTACTTGTGTGCATGCACTTCCCCGCATATTCGCGTGTGCTTCAGATGGTAAACTCTGTTGTTTGTGCATGCAAATGCATTCATGCATATGCTGGTGGGTTGTGGAGCTCAAATGTCTGCTCATTTGTATGGAGGCACTATAAGTGCCTGTTCGTGCTGCAGCTTGCCCTTATACATTGCGCGTAGCTTTAAAGAGAGATGCGTGCGTGCCTGGCTGTAGTGTCTGGGATACAGCAGGTTTCGTTTGTGCGCTTATGGATGAGCTGGTTATCTGATATGCAAAGGGGAGCACGGTTGGCTTGTTGTGTGTTTTGCGGTCACTTCAGGATGCGGCAAAACTTTGTTGGCGAAGGCTGTGGCGTCTGAATGCTCGGCAAACTTTATTTCCATCAAAGGTCCCGAGTTGCTAACGATGTGGTTCGGTGAATCCGAGGCGAACGTTAGAGAGGTGTTTGACAAGGTAAGCTAACAAATTTGCCTTACGTGGGCTTCTTTGCGTAAGAGAGAGCCGAAGCAATGCTTAGGCTGTTTCTGTGTGCCCCTATGATTGCCGACGCGCATCCGCCCCTGCATGAGGAATTTTATGCGTTCAGGCGCGAGCCGCGAGCCCCTGTGTTCTGTTCTTCGACGAGCTCGATTCTATTGGCACGCAGCGTGGCAACAACTTGGGGGATGCGGGTGGCGCTGGTGAGTTGGAAAGAGACCAACTACTTAGAAATGTTTGGGTTGGGTAGTCAGTGAGGCGAGCGTATCCCGTGAGTGCGCAACCCCGTTTTTGTTTGGGCGGACGGGAAACGATGTGCGCGCACAGGTGACAGAGTTATGAACCAGCTGCTGACGGAAATAGATGGCGTTGGTCCTATGAAGAACCTTTTCTTCGTGGGGGCCACTAATAGGCCTGAACTCCTCGACGAAGCTCTTCTTAGGCCGGGACGTCTCGACCAGCTTATCTACATTCCCCTCCCAGATCTGCCTGCGCGTGTTAGCATTTTGCAAGTGGGTTTCATTTCAGGATGGGATGGGCGCACGTATTGGTAGCGTTAGTTTCCGCTCCTGCAACCTAAAGAAAGCGCAAGCAAAATTGTGGTTGTGCTTATTTGCTGAAGGCGACATTGAGAAAAGCGCCAGTGGCACCAAATGTGCCCATTCCTTTCCTGGCGCACAAAACCGCGGGCTTTTCAGGGGCGGATATCGCTGAAATGTGTCAACGAGCTGCGAAAGCCGCCATTCGTGACGTGAGGTTCCCAGCAAGAATTATTTGCGTTTAAGGGTGACGAAATTGCTTTTTCTTAAAGCCAGCCAGTCTTTGTGGTGTGCAGTCCATGCATTTTCTGTAGAATGACCCAAATTATGATGCCGCGTGTGAGTGTTTCCGTAGGCTATTGCTGCCGAGGAACTCGCCCGGGCTGCGGGCACTGAAGGAATGGATGAAGATGAGTCGAACGTGAAGTATGAAATCACGCGCAAACATTTCGAAGAAGGACTCGCTGGTGAGAGGTTGAGCACTAACGAACACGCATCAGTCCGCTTGCGCACACTGTACCTTTTATATATATGTACCGATTGTAGTAGCATTTTTGAGGCTGTTGAGATGTTCTGGAGTGCTTTGAGCTGTTAGTTTATTAACTCGATATATTTTTTGCTTGCGGATACGTGCAGGAGCACGGAGGAGTGTTTCGCAGACGGACTTGTCGAAATACGACTCCTTCAGAATGAAGTTCGACCCCATCTACAAGAGCCAGGCGGCAGGGGGCGATGGAACTATCATTGTTGATTGGCCCAACACAGACGGCGCCGCGACAGATCTGGTGAGGGGTTTGCCTAGTAACGTTTGTATGCCCTTCCTCTTTGCATTATCTACTGCATTACCCATTAGTATTTACCATATATACTTCATGGTTTGTTTAGCACGAATGGACATTACATCGTCCGTATACGCGCATTGTTGTACGGTCAACTTTATGAAGGAGCTAGCGCATATCCATGCTTCCAGACAGAACCGACAGAACCCAGACATGAACTTCATAGACACTGTGTATTCCGACTGGATTTAAACGTCATTTTCGTGGATCGCATCGAGTTGCATTCGTTTTTTCCCGCCCTGAGGATTGCACTGTGCATCTGCATCCGAACTGGGTTGTGCATAGGGGCGAGTTGAGGAAGGCGACGACGACGATCTGTACTCGTAATCGGACATTTCGCTTGCACCCCTTTAATCGAAGTGGTGCCACTTCTGAGAAGAGCAAACTCTTCAGCGAACAGCGACTGTGCACAAGCTCATGCGTGCGCAAATCAAGTTGACGTCTGCACTGGGATAAGAGGGAAGGTATAGAGGAAAGGAGGAGGCAGAATATAGGCATTTATTTTATTGCTTCGTTGAAGCTATTAAGCAATTTACTGCATCGAGGGTATCTGCAGTCGGTAGATGTCCTTTATTCCTATGCTTCCACTAGGATGAGGCAGCGTCACCGCCGGCAATAGCAGCTGCCTGCGGCTGCTCCTTGTTCCAAACTAAAGGAAAAGTACTTTATGCTTTCTGCTGCAAAAATCCTACAGAGGCGGGCATAAAACTGCTTTGTTAGAAAGTTTTGCCTTTGCCTTCGATTCTGTATGCAGCATATGAACTGGTCGATTCCCTCCTAATGTCCGTTTTCCCCGTTGCGAGGATGTTTAAGTATTCAGTATGTTACGAGTTAATCGCTGTAGTGCAGTTGCTTGAAACTGCTCCCACTCCTACACTGAACGGGCAGTTGGCACCCTTGTGAACAGCAGAGGGTAGCCTCTGCAGACAAAAGTTAAAGCTCAAGTAGTTANATGACAACTAAGTCTTATCCATATATTATGCGGTAGCATTCGTTAGATGCCAGTCCTCGGTGAAGGATTTCCGCTTCGGTGCCCAAGGAGGCTTCCAGTAAGGCCCCAACCAGAACCAGCGGCCTGACCGCCCGCGCATCTGCAGGACAGGGGGAAGCAGAGAAACAATCAATCGAGGCCCCCCAATGAGTTCAAAGAATTCTTTGCAAATATGTTCCAACTAATGAAAAACAATACCTACTGTGTATATGATTCAAAAATCACTATACAAACGAATTTTAAGTAGAATGATGTGAGCTTCAGTAAGAACAGCGTGATACGGGGATAGGGTTTGCCTGGATTTTCCATTGTTGCTGCTCACCATCCGTGGCTTTCCTCCGCGACGAGCCTTTGTGTGGGGGAACTTCACAGGATAGAATTCGTGCGCCTTCACCTGAGCAGCCGAACCAAACCGGCAACATTCAACGTGCCCCGACAGCTGTATACGGATACATTCCCTTCACAATATGGGGTCCACTTACTATATATAAATGTGCAGTGGATGTACAGCACGTTGCACGCACAGTTAGCTCAGTAGAGATGCATTAGTATGTGAAAAATGTATATAATAGGTACAAAGAGGACGGACTGAGCAGCTGGAGCCACCACTATATATATATATATATATATATATATATATATATATATATATATATATATATATATATATATATATATTAATAACGGCAACGTAGCCAGTGAAGGCAAAAATATGCAATGTATAAAGTGAACATTTTGCTTCTACGTTCGAAGGCAAAGCAGAATATCCACAGAATGCCTCACCGCCACGTCGAAGCGGCCAATCGTTTGCTGCACTCGCCGATCATCAGGCCCTGCAGGAAGCGCAAAACAAACCCCAATAATCCATTCACTTTAGATTTTAACTAGCTCTTCCCCTCGATGAGCGAGAAACATTTAGCCCAAAGAGCGAATGCGAGTTCCCCCAGGTGCCTGCCTCTTCAGCTTCCGCTGGACGCTGTGCCTTGGTGGAGTCAAAAGGAAAAAATAACGCTGCCACTATCGGCGGCCACAACCTACCTAATGCGGTGTACATACAAGTAAGTAGAGTGCGCCCGGCACTTGGAGCTCGCGGCTCAAACCAAACATTGAAAGGATGGACGCCTCGCTTTTTGCCTCCTTTATCTTGCAATGTCTGCGGCTTGGCTTGCAGAGTCGCCGCTACTGCGTCTGCCCCTGCTGTCTTCTCCGGTTGCCCAGAGATATTTATTTGCATGTAATTACACTGCGCTGAGTCCTCCAGCCATTCCACGTGGGACGTCATCGCCAGTTCCAAACCTGAGGCCTCAGCCTTATCTAAGAACAGGCGGGCAGACAAACACCGTCGGGTTCTGGCCAGCCATTCAGCTAGCCTCCACAGCTCAACATTCAAACACTCCTCAGAAAATGGCACTTCCACTCCTTCTGTTTTCGTTTGTGGTGTTCCTGCTTCTATTCTGTTTGCTGCCGTTGCTGATGATGCCCGTGGCGACCGAAGAGGCTGCGCTCCCCGCGCTTTGGCAAACAAGCTTTTGTTTAGAACTGAAACGAACCCAAGCACATTCCAAAAGCACTCGAAAATCAATACTAGAGAAAGCATAAATCCCATGCACAAAATTGCTGCAATGTGCGTCATCGAAAGTACCAGGCCAGACTGTATTGACAGCTACAGCAAATGCCCCTTCACGAGGCAGTTGTCTCTGTTTTCACGAGCTCAAGGTGAAAAAATATAAGGCGCCGAATGCCCCACTGTCCTCTCACTCACGGCACTGGTTGTAAAGCGACAAACGGCGGATTATGGGGCAGTCGTCAGGGGCCCACTGGGGCTCTTCTTTTTCAAGTATTTTCTCAAGGGTCGCGCGAATACCAGCACGTACAGGAGGGGGATCTTTCTGCTGTCTATTTGCTGCTGAAACCCTCCTTCTCTGCATAGCCCATGAAAGCACCTCGTGCAATGCTTGCAGATCCTGAATATGGGTTTCAAAACATCGCAGCAAATTGTTTCCCATTGCAAGAGAAGCCGCCGTCGTCTTCGATTGCCCCGCAGGTCACTCCTTACGAACACACTCCGGCCCGCTACGCACAACAACAGCTAGCGGGGCATCTACACTCACACGGGTGTCAATCCCGGGGACGTCGAAGAGTGCAACTGTGGCGAGGGCGGCCAGCTGGGTTGCGCGTTCATCTGAATCCAGCAGGTAGCCTGCAGGCGACGGTGTCTGATGTCTGTCGTTGCCATCTGACCCCAAAGAAGACTGAATTGCTGAATCCCCCCTGAGCTTTCTCATGCCGAAGGTTCTCCGGGGTGTCGATGACTGTTTGTTGGGTTCGGTGAGATCGGCGGACAGCAGCAGACCCTCCTTTAACTTATCCAGCAGTGTCTGCGACGGGTAGAGCGTACATATACTGGGTGTATACACTCAGAAGAGAT